ATTTTAAGTTAGAATTTCGCGAATGGCTGGATACGTTTGCCCTCTCTTACGGCGCCACAAGTTAACCTCAGGGCAGTGAATGAAAGCAGCGTTGTTTGATTCCCTACTGCAAAAGCAGCGCTCGTGACCGTTACTTTTGCACCCGCATTTTGTTACATTTCCACCAGTTTCATCACGTAGTTTGCAATATTATTTTCCTTCCTTTAATTTCATCTCTTAAACATTGATTCTGGGGCGTAGGTATATTGAGAGCAACATAGCGACATCGATTTCGTCATCTAATTTCCTTTCTTTTTCGTTCCTCTTTCTTGTGACTTTCGAAGTGCATGAATTGCGTTTCTATTTCGCTGTGTTCTCCATTTGTTTGTAATTTTTGCACACCTTTTATTTTAGCTCTCACTGTGTTCTACTTTAAGTCACTGGAGCAATCTTCAGTTACGCCTAAAGCAGCCATGTTCAACCCACGAAAGAAAACGTCGCGCAAGGTCGGAAAAGAGGAGCAGAAACGGAAGGGAAAGGCGCCTATGTTCACCCATAGACGTGGCATTTTTTCCAAACGTGCTGTTAGCGACGATGTAGCAAAACCGTGGGCTGCAGTTGGAACTTGGTTTCTTGGACCAAAAGCGGAGAATGCTGACGTGTTTATTGAACTAATGAAGGACGCCATAAAAGCCCACATGGATTTTCGCCAAGGGTACGTAACAAAATTCTATTTTCCTGTAGTATCTTATTTACGTCTGTTGCCTCGGCATGGTTTTCCTTGTCAGCTTTTATTCCGAGTTTGTTCACTAATGCCACTCCTACTCTTTGCATTACACGCAAATTAAAAGAAACCAGGGCAGAGTTCTCATATAAGGGTTTTGATGAACGAGGAGTGTGTTACCTGATTCAAGAAACCGTTGTTGTTCCCAAGGTTTATCAGCCCAATTTCGGTTGGCTTTTGAACTTAACACTTGGAAGGTGTCAAATGCAGACATGCATCAGATATGTCTGCTCCTAAGTGCAACATGAAATGCAAAAATATTTTATTTCCCTAGTTTCTACCCTTGTGATCCACCGTACGTCACAGACGAGCTGCGACAAGCAGAGTCTTTCAAAAAATCCTATGAGAAAATGAAAACGGAATTGGATAATCTTCAGAAGGACATGTACAGATCTGTTCCATTTT